CCCCCCCTCACCTGCCTAACAGGACTCGGACCCTTCCCCAGGACCCTTCCCCAGCCAATTGGCTGAGGCCACAGCCATTACCTCACCAACTGCCCCCAGGCCCCAATAAAACCTTTGTCCTTTTGAAACTCGCTCTCTTTCCCTGGTATCTCACCGCTGTGTCGGTGCAGGTAGGGGATTGAGCTCGAGCTAGCTTGAATAAAGGCTCTTTGCTTTTGCATCGGACTCGGCTCCCTAGTGGTCTTTGGGGATCACGAATTCTGGGCATACCAGTGACTACTATGTCTCAGCTATCAGACTTTTCTTTAGATCGAGACGGCTTCCCTCCATTACATGTGCCAATTTCACAGTCCAAAGTTCCAACTCCTACCTTGCACAGAAACTTAACTCCCCATTCAGCAATTTTGGTAAGTTTAATAAAATGTCAATTTGAAGACAATACTTTTTAAAGCAATGATTCAAATAGAATTCCTAAGAAACACATGGCCCTTCTCTAATTCTCTCTCTTTTAACAAATACTATTCTGATATTAATAACCCTAAAAGCTTAACCATAGATGCCCCCAAATACTCTGGCTAAATCCTTCCCTTGTGACAAAGAGTCCTTCCTCTCTGGCTGCTTTCTGCACATTAGAGTAGAAACATCCACTTCCTTCGTGATGCAAGAGAGCTCCTTGACCTTGAGCATCATCTGAGGTCATTTTTTAGTCTTTCTTCCATTCATTTTCTTCCCCAGTGATTTTCTTTCTTAGGCAAAGGAGACTGTCCACATCCACCCTTACTATCTCACCTCACTCATAAATCACTTTTTATTCTTAAAGATCATTCTCAGCCTACATTCTACCTCCAATGAATTCTCTCAAGTCAGCAGACTGACACAGTCCACTAACAGGAATTCAAACAAATAATTTAAAATCTTGTTGCCAGCTTTCTGAAGCCTCCAATGGCTCCTTTTATTTAAAGAACTCATTTATAGGGGTGCCTGGGTGACTCTTAGGTCATGATCTCACAGTTATGAGTTCAAGCCCTACATTGGGCTCTTTGCTGACAGCTCAGAGCCTGGAACCTGCTTGGGATTCTGTGTCTCCCTCTCTCTCTGCCTGCCCCCCCGTTCACACTCTGTCTCTCTCTCTCTCTCTCTCAAATATAAATAAACATTAAAAAAATGTTTTAATAAATAAAGAACCCACTTACGAGATAAAGTATAAGTAGACTTTGCTGCCAACAGAGAACTGAAGACAAAGAAGATAATAAGTTTATTGTGTAACTATGTACCTCAAACTCAGGCCCTGGGGTCTAGGTGGCATCTGGGAAATGTGTTTTTTATTCACATGGAAAGTGGGAATACAGCATTTCATTTACCTACTGCTGTAGGTAACCTTATGATGATGTGATGAAGAACAAAGTGACTTCTCTAACACTCCCAACTTTAGGTAAAGGCAACATTGATTTAAGATGAACAGAGGAGAGGGTCTACTATATTACCCTTTTTCTTATCTTTATTTCTTTCTGAACTAGAAGGAGAAGTAGTCGCTGAAGAAATCTGACCAGCAAACTGAAAAGGAAGCACCCGTTAACCAAGAGCAAAGACATGGTGTCCCTGTTGTATGGCTGCAAAATCCATCACGACTTCCTGTTGGCTCTGGACGCCATGTCCTGCTTGCAGGTAAACAGCTCTCTCCTACAACACAACCCTTTCTCACTAACCATTTCATCTCCAGATCTCAGCTTTAACATCCAAATATGGTTGTTCATCGGACACACAAGGAAAGTTGAGCCTAGTGGCTGTTTCTTATTTAATGCTGAGGTCTAGGTAACCTATGACAGCATACCTTTCCATGTTCATCAAAAATCTGTGACACAGAGAAAGGGGTTGTTTCCTTAGATTGGCCATAAAACTCTGTTCTAAGGGATAAGTGGGAGAAACATTAAGCTGGAAGTCCTCTGACCTGGCTTCTAGAATTCGAGCTTACCCTACGCCATGAAAGGAAGTCATTTCACATTCTTGTGTGTTTAGTTTTCTGAAAAGGAAAAAGGTGAGACTACCCTTCTAGTAACTTTCCATTACTGACATTCTCGCCCAGGTTAGCCCTGTGATAAAAAGCATGACTCTGGGTTTCTGAGATCAAAGCATGTTCTACCACTTCCTGTAACTTTAGCCAAAGTACTTAACGTTTCTATGCCTTAGTCTCCTCAACAATAAAATGGGAATAAATAATAATACCTACCTCACAGGGCTTTTATGAACATTAAATGGGACAATGTGCTTGTAGCAATATCTAGCACTCAGTAAACACGGAATAAATGTTAGCTATTTTTATTATGTGACTCTTATTTTTGATGTGCTTTATCTTTATTTTCTAAGAAGGGTCATTATAAACCTGAAATGATTTGATGTTGTAGTAACTTTTAAGGCTGTTGTAACAAGGACAGGAGTTTTAGACAAATCAAATGGGAAGGCAGTCAAACTATTTGAAAATGATTCTTACCTTTTTCCAAATTTAATTCATCATCTTGTCTGGCTTGGAAAGAATATAAAGCCTTGCAAAGACCACTGCCGAGCTGGGCCACACCAGACGCTGAAAGTTGGATCCAGTAATAATTAGTAACGCTGTGTCAGTAGGCAAGATGAATATGATGGGAAGCTCTTCAATTATTGAATAGTGTGGTGCTGAGCTTCTCAAAGGGAAAGTTTATAATTTCACATAATCTTCGTTCCTGGGTATAGTAACCATTTATGATATACCTACTGTGTATATGGACTATGTATATTATATAATCGAAAACTATATCATAGTATGGAAAATAATGAGTCTGGAGAAAAAACAATAAAGATGACAGTTTAAAGTTGTTTCCCACATGAACTTGTCATCACCAGTTAGCTAGTATGTGTGGTAGTTGAAGCATATTTTGGAAAACATACACCAGTTTTGCCATTCAGGAATAGATCAGAGCCAGCTAGTGCACGTGTCTGTTACCACCCTCCCTAGGTACTGATGGAACTATTTCTTAATGCGATCGCGAGTCTTTAATACACCAAGTGGACCATAACGTCCTGGGTTTTACTGAAACTCCTTTCACCAACTTCTCATCAAGAAACTTGAGAATCAAGGTTATGGCAACTATAGTTAAACCACAAGGGACAATGGTAGGGTGTGTGTGTGTGTGTGTGTGTGTGAGCTTGTATCTGTGTGTTGAAAGGTGAAATGTGGTGGGTGTGAGCTGGCAAATGGCTAATATAAGGCAGCTGAATAAAGGGAGTAGGTGGGGTCGGGATCACCGTGTTTCTCACAGAAAGGACAGGATTTCCATGGAAGTTTGGAGGAGGCAGTGGAGACAGAACTCCTCACAAGGGTTTGAGGTTGAATGTAAGGACAGCAGATGCAGACTGTCTGAATAACACGGATGCCAGTCATCAAAGGTACCTTCTCATATCATACATTTTTTCCTCAACCCTCCACTTTTTGACTCCTTCCCAAATTTTGGATAACATCTGCACAGAAAGCTACAGATACCAACAAATGAATCAGTCCTAACTGAAATGCAAATTTCTTTGAGCTGATATATGCCCAAAGGATTCTGAAAATAAAATGTAAATGTAGCAACGTGCTTTACCAATAGAACCTCCCCCAGATTATTGTGGGCCTGGGATTACCTGCAGATGAAGCACTCGGGATTCTCTGCCCACCACAAGATGCCCTGCTCACCTTCATCAGAAAAGGCCGAGATATTTTCACATAACTATGTGTCTGTTGCTGTTTAAATTGTTAAAAAAAAAAAAAAAGTCATTTTTAACAACACTGTCATCAAAAGTATTTATGAGAAGTAACTCTTCCACAGCTGTTTTCCTAAGGAATTTGTTTTTTTAATTTTGGGGGGAGAGTATAAATGAATTATTCAATAGTTTTAAAAACTCTACCATAAAGCTTTCTTATTTCTAAAGCCTTAATATTTTCAAAATTAGACAATTACCGCATTTTACACCCTGTGTTTGCAATTCTGACGTGCACCTCAAGGTCAAATAATAACGTTCACAGCATTACTTCTACAAATTCAACTTTAATTGGCTTTAATAAAAGTGAAATTGCCATGACTCAATCTGCCATGATTGAGACCATTTTAGAGCTGAGTTTCAGGGGCGCCTGGGTGGCGCAGTCGGTTAAGCGTCCGGCTTCAGCCAGGTCACGATCTCGCGGTCCGTGAGTTCGAGCCCCGTGAGTTCAAGCCCCGCGTCGGGCTCTGGGCTGATGGCTCAGAGCCTGGAGCCTGTTTCCGATTCTGTGTCTCCCTCTCTCTCTGCCCCTCCCCCGTTCATGCTCTGTCTCTCTGTCCCAAAAATAAATAAACGTTGAAAAAAAAAATTTTTTTTAAAAATTTAGAGCTGAGTTTCATGGAAAAAGCCCCCTTATCACAAGGTGGTTACAGCTCCCCCTTCTGATTGGAAATGGAAAACAGCTGCAAGGTACAGTGACCCACATGTATGCACATGCTCATTATCAATCCTTATAGTGTATCACCAGGAAAATACACCGGTGTGAATTTTTTAAATTATGCTCACACTTTATCCACGTCATGTACCATGTGAAATGGATGAGACTAGAGTATATCACAAAATCTTAACAATTTAGGCACATAGAAATTTTATTCTAGAGGTATGTTCAAAGAATAAAGTTACGGTATGAGGAAGATGAAGAATCCACAGAATTACTAGCTCCTCATATTTAGTCCACAAAGAATGTATTCATTTGTGATTAACTCTTGTTACTTCACCCAGGAGTAAGACATAAATTTATCTTAAAATTCCACAACTGGGATTTGGGACATGTGGCACATGTAATTCATAATAGCCTTTTTGCCCTGGTACTATTTGAAGCCACTCCATACAGCAAACCCAGTCAAGAAATTACAACCAAATCTCTTAAATTTTTACCTTTTCTTTCCACCTGAAGATGGAGTTACTGCAGGGATGGTTGGGTTGAGGTCTTTGCTCAAGTTCTGCTAACACTGATGACAGTTTGTAGGAGTTTGCTTGCAAAAGGTCTAGTTTCAAGTTGGTCTGTGGATACATCATTTGGCCATGTGAGTAAATTTCTAGAACATGAGGTACGACTGGATGGGTAAAGGGATATCAGGATAACTTCCAAGATGACAAAGAGGTCTAGAAAGGTACACATTCAACTTCATGCAGATAGGCACAGAAAATGCTAAAGGGGGCAAAAAGTGGACACTTTCAGTATTTTAAAGGAAAGGCTTAGTTGTGAAGTGCACCGCATTCTGGACTCTTCTATACATAGGGTAAACCAGAAACCTTGATAGATACATTACTCAGTATTTTGTGGCAACAAATAGCTTTACTCTGAGCTATTTTCTGCTGAGCAGTGAGAAAGGGAATAATGAGTGTTGATTGCAGAAGGTAGACTTCCAGAGGCCTTGAAGAAAGGATGTTGAACATTGTGCTCAGCATTGTGAACACAACTGAACTTGTATCGATAGAATCCAACTGAAATAGTGTGAGATGGGTTTTGTTGCTGCTGCTGCTGCTGCTGTTCTTGTTTTTCTTAAAGAGATTAGGTCTTATATTACCCAACAAGTTTGCAGTAACACTTCTGGACACTGGAAACAATGGTCTGGAGTATCTGAGTATAAAAATACGTGAAGCTAGGGGTGTCTGGGTGGCTCAATCAGTTTAGCATCCTGACTTTTGATTTCGTCTCAGGTCATGATCTCACACTTTGTGAGTTCGAGCCCCACATCAGGCTCCCTGCTGACAGTGCAGAGCCTGCTTGGGATTCTCTGTCTCCTTCTCTCTCTGCCCCTCCCTCGCTTTCTCTGTCTCTGTCACACACACAAATAAATAGATAAACATTTTAAAAAATAAGTGCAGCTAAAGACACACTCCTAGTTCTGAATTTGACCTCCTGTTCTCCATTTGACCTTGAACTAGAAACTTCGTAATAACTTCTTTGTTAAGCTGTATTCAGTTAGGGTAAACCAAATAACAGAGTCTAAACATTGGAAGGGGACTGCTTATCCAATCTCTTCCTGACCATTATTTCTTCCTTTTCCACATATCCAGCAGGGGGATTCCTAACCCTAACATTCTTGCCAAGGGACCACAACACCTCCGGTTGGACTGAACTGAACTGAACACCTCTGATCGACTGCATTGTGGGACAGGCTTACCTAAGATGAAACCAAAACCCACCACATATCTTCTACCATTAGACCTAGCCTGCATCTGAGAGCATCATAGGACAAATCTCCTTCCTCTCCTATGTGGTGCTCTTTCCAGTGTCTGAAGATAGTATCTATTCTAAATATATTCAGTTTCCACAACACTTTCTCCTAGAACATGTGTTATCAACATTCTTCTTCTTTCAAATATGGCACTTGAAGGACAAAGAGGCAATGAATTAGGAAGAATTTAAATGAAACAGAGTTTCCTCCTGCAAGAAACCTTCCCTGGGTAGACTTCGTGTTATCCATCGGATGCAGGGGTGTGTAGCCAAGTTACACGGATATTTGCCATTCGCTGCTCAAAGGTTCATGTTTACTCCATCATAAGCACCATTAATTCAGGAGCCAGACCCTCCCGGACCTTATACCCTCCACTATGTGGATCAGGCCAGCATGTACCCAGATGATCCCAATACATGTTCTGTGCTGGTAATGATGATGACAAAATTCTATGCAAGAACAACCAAAGAAATAAACTTACAACTTAACACCATCAAAAAATGCTCCATATGACTATTTTGGTAAATACTACTTGCATGGAGTTAGAAAACCAAACATTTTGCACTATCACAGAAAATGTTCTACAGACTGCTTTATAATTTCATAAAAACTATAGCCATGTGTCACTGCAAATATGTTAGAGCTCTGTTCCCAAGTGAACAGAATTCAGGCCTTTCTTTCCCTAAGAGTGTTAGGTTTGTTTTTCCAACAGCACCTCCTCTAAAGGAAGCCTCTGCTAAATAATCGATTAAACTGTACCTGGCTATATCTGTCTCCTTTCACCAAAGAACTACTGAAATTACCTGTTTGGACAGAATTATTAGGTACCTGCTTTCACAAGACAGTTAGGCTAGGTACAAGGTAAGGACAGCTGGCCCAGCTTCCTATATCCTACAAAACATTGCTAAAGATTTTATCGCTTCCTGAATTCTTCTCATATTAACCCCCGTCAACTTCCTATTTCTGTAATCATAGCAGAAAACCTGCATCTAGCACACATAGTTCATAGCATCTGTTTGCCTTTATTCCTGTATAGAATTCACAGCACTTTGCTAACCTCTCTTTCACCTGGGCTCCTCTGAAGCGGCTGCATTGTCCATCACTCCCACAAATGCCTGGGGGCTGCTGAGGTCCAGGCTCTCAGCAAAAAGGCCCAGAGTTGCCTCTCTCCCTGCCCTCTCCTGACAGCACCTCCCCTCCCCTCAGACAACCTCAGCCTCTGAAGTTTTTTCCCTTTTTCTCAGGAGCTTTTGCCACACACACCCAGACTACCCCCTCACTCTGTGCCTCACATCTTTCCGCTCCCCTGTTATTTTCAGAAGACCGTGATGTTCGCTGAGGGATCAGTGGAAAGTGGAATCTTCATAGTTACCAGGTTTTCAGCTCTCCTCTGTGCACTGTGCTGACATTTTCTAACCAACACTATATCCTCACAATAACCTTCTGAAGTAGGGACCAATATCCCCATTTTACAGATGAGAAAACTAAAGTCGTCCCAAGTCACTGTAAATGACAGGGCTGGATCCAGATCCAGACCTTTCTGAATGCAGGCCCTGGTTGTGGGTTTGTGTGTGTGTGTTTAATCACTTTTCCTAACTGGGTTAAAGTACACGTGGTTTCCAGACCTTGATGGAATTATTCTATTTTGGGGAATTCTATTTTAGGCACAATTCTTTTCCAGGAAGGACACTAAAGCAAACATTTCTAAGTTGAATTTTTCCGGATCCCTCAAACTGTTCATCAAGGAGGTGACTATAGGAGCTCTCTTCCTAGAATGTTGTATGTCATGAGAAAAGAGAGGCAAAGAGAGGTCAAATGGGCCCCGAAAACAAGCATCCTAAAAATAACTCTTTCATCATTAAACCTAGGAAGGTGGAATCTGCAAATATTTACCTCGTCCATTAAGGCTGCTGTGATTCTTTGGCTCTCTGTGTCCAAGAAGGCGGAGTTGCTAGAGTAGGATTTCAGCATTTGTTCCAAACCTAGCAATGAAATAATTCTCTCGGTCACCGCTGTCCATCCTGCCCTGGCGGAACACAGCTGAGAGGGGCCACGGGCAGCGGAGCCTGGGCCCAGAGGTGATACCAGGAGGGTTTCCCAATGGCTGAGGCTCTTTCTGCACGTAGTTGTTACTAAATTTTACTGAACCAGTGGCCTGTACCTTCATTTAATGAAATTTGAGAAGTGCTGGAGTTAAAAAAAATCTTGATTATTATTTTGCAAGATGAGCTTTTGAATCTCCTTGCGGACCCAGTCCGTGGTCCATTCCCAACACTTCCCACAGTGTTAGGCTCTTCCTCACTATGATATTTAGGTTTCTAAACATTTCACTCCCTCGGATTTCCTGACAGGGATTACATTTCAACGTGTCGCTCTGGTCCACATAAGATAAGCTCCATATTCCAGAATCACAAGTGTGGGGTCGTTTTTATTATCCGTATCCCTTTAGAGCTGCTTCACATTCTGACATACCTAGCTTCCTCATTTGGAAGGATAGTTTAAAAAGAAACAAACAAGAAAACCAAAAGCTGTGTGCACAGGTTTACCACGTTTTCAACCAAACAAATTGTCCCTCGTTCCAGCCATTTCAGAAACACAGCAATATGCTGCATTTCTGGAAATGGTGACATAGCTCTCTCAAATAGACCAAAGTGTCATTTCCAGCCTGTTTGTGCTCTCCTGTCTTCTTTCCCATTGTTCTTTATTCAGACAAATTAGGTTTGACATAGGATTCTTTAAATGAGATGGTCCCTGCCCCAGTCTGCAAAAGTGGAATCACCCTAACTCTGAAGGAACCCTCCAAGTAGAACACTTATCAGGCCACTCACAGATACAATTACACACCTGCCCGGTCTCTTGAGGCTTTTTCGATATCTTTTTGCAGTCTCAACAGTTTGGATTTTATTGAAGACTCTTGTCGCTCTTTATTCATTGCATTGTTAAGATCTTCTTCCTTTAGGGGGAGAAAATGATGCTTAACAATTTAAGGAGAAAAAAGTAAGGGTTGCTCCCCCTGGCTATACTGATACTTTCACTGATAACTGTATTTAATATTAACTGGACAGGAGAAAAAGAGTAAAAGAATAAATAAATAAAAGCAGGATAACCTTTGGTTTTATACGGATTGTTCTACTTGTTCTAGGCCTGCTTACTATGAAAACATCTTGCCCACAGCTTGTCAGTACATAGCCGAGGACTTCCTTAATAGAACACATTATTGTTGAAGGAAGAGCCTTACTATAGTTATTTCATAGTTTCTTGATAAGTAAATTGGTTTTTTGGATACATGTTGCTCTCTATTTGTCTTGGTTCCAGTTAGAGTTCTTTAAACGTCCAATGTAGCATCATGTGTTTACCTTGAACCAGGACTGCCTACGGAGTGGAACAAATATCTGTTATGTTCTGCTTTCTTGGCCAGCTGCTGGGAACACGTGAGCTCTTCCCAGAATGGGTCTATAATTTAGTCAAGCCTTGAAGCATATCATGAAGAGAGCTAACAATTCAAGGCCACATTCATTCATGAATGGTGCAGACAGGAATGCGTGATTCAGCAAGTGCCAAGGCAAGAAAGTTTCAAGGAGGCTAGAAGACTTCACCAGGATTTTTCAGTCCAGGGAAAAGAAGTCAAAGGGTACCTCGGGTAGGGGAAATGGCTCAAGCCAAAGGATAGAGGGAGGACTACAAAAAAACGTATCAGGAACAATCAACAGACCAGCCATTTGCGTGAGCAAACATAGTGGAAGGAAAATTTGTCTTCGTAGTTTAAGCCAGATTTTTGGGCTGAAGTAGAGATTTTATCCTACAAAATGTGAGAAAGTAATAACAATACCTGAACTTTCACATACATTATTTCAAGATCTAAATGAGGAAAAAAAAGAGGATGTTAAGGTCAGGTGGCGAGGGGCTGAACATGAGTGTAGCAGAGGGACAGGAACCCTTGGAGAAAGAGGGGACACCAATGACTGAAGATGGCACTAAAGGAGTCAGGACTTCTCCAATATGGAAGGAGAAAAACCAGGATCCTGAAAGTTGGTGGAGAGATCATCACAAAGAAATGGAGGCATGAGAATTTAGAGCAAAGCAAACAGCCATTATAGAAATAATGAGCTCTAGATAAAAATATTTATATATTGTGAATTACATATTATAAAAGTATGTATCTTTATTACATGTGATTCTCACAACAAGTCTATGAGGTTGGCTTTATTTCCCCCATTTTACCTGTGACACTCAGAGACATAAATGAAGGCCCAAAGGAAACAGCTTGAAACCCCGCTCTTCTGAGTCCCAGTTCTCTTCCCCATCTGCTCCTACACATGCCTGCCCATGGTGGTCGTCACACCCCACATGAGCCCCAAGGGAACTGCATGGCTGCCTACCTCCAACCCTCAGGACTTCCTTGCTGGAGAAATGCACATCACACTCTGGCTCCCATGCCAGGCTGAGACTTCATTTGGGTTGTTTAGGGACACCTATTGTTTACAAATGTATTTCCAGAGATGGATCACTACTGGATCAACTTGAGGCTAGAATATACTGCTGTCCGTTAACTTTCTTAAATTTGTCCTTCTCTTCCAAAGATTTTGGAAAGAAGATCAATACTGAAGGTGGCCTATGAAACTTCAGATACAATCTTCTGAGCATGGCCTTATGGTAACCTTACAAATATTTTCACACTGGTCACCAGCCCCTCAATATCTGTACTCTTATTGGTCTGTCTTACCCTAGTCCATGTACATTTCTTGGCACTAGATATAAACCAGTCTATACTTACTGCTAATGTCTAGTAAGTCAGAATTTGGGGGTGTTTTGCTTTGAGGATATTAAGAAAATCCCGTTTACACATTTGGAGATACAATCCGTTCATTTAGACAACAGATATGTAGTCATCAGCTTTGGTACACAGAAGTTCCATAGAAACCCAAAATTTCCATGGGCATGGCAATTAAAGATAAACTGTCATGGCTGCCTCCTTACATTTCACTGGAAGCCTAATCAAATATTCAAGGAGAATGACCCTTATTTTATTGACAAGTTATTCAATAGGGGCACTTTTTTTAAGAGAATAACAAAAATACTTTATTGTACGTTTCCCATCTAAGAGGTCACCTATTAAAAAGGATAGAGAAAAAAAAAAGAAGAGCACTTCCCCTATCAAATCTTCCTTTCCACTCCCATTGCTACCTTTGTTACTGCTCTGAGCAGACATTGCTGTTGCTAATTCACTTCACCGTTGCCAGAATAGGAAAAAAAAAAGATTTGATTAAAGAAATAAGTGGCCACTTATGGCTATTTGGAGGATGGGGAGGGAAAAAGCTGGTCAGGTGTCATCTTTGTGCCTAATCTGATGGGCTTTCCCCCTCCCTCATCTTTTATTCCCTGCACAGGACTCCTGGGATGTTGACTTCAGCTACACTTTTAATTCTAGAGCAGGACATGACCAGTAGGCTAGTTCCCTATACAGGGAGAAATGAACCTTCCCAGTCTGGACCTTGAAAGTCTGAGTGAAATATAGCAGAAGGCACAGGGAGGAGCTATGGGGAATTCTTCCTGCAGATTTTGGTAACTAATGATCAGCTTCTAGAACACTGTAATTAAGGGTAACAAGAGGGGAGCAGAAGACAAAATCTTTGAGGCATGATCCAAGAAGACAAAGAATTTACCCCAAATTAACAAAGAGGTTAGATGATTGATCAGTTTTTAGCAAGTTTCATATAATAGTAGAATCATCCAAATGCTCTCAAAATAAGTTTTTGTAATATGGTTCAAGATTTTCAAAGTCAAAGACCATGAAGAATGTTGATAACGATTCCCACATTTGAGGAGTCATGCCTTTGTATAATCTCCTCCACTTAAATGTGGGCCATGCTTATTGATTTGGTTCTAACAAATAGAATACTAAGGGATGTCACTTCTGAGATTAGCTTATGAAGACTAAATTCCATCTTGGACACTCTAGCTCGGTCTCTTTTGGATCACCAGTTCTGGGGGAAGCAGACATTTTGTGACATGTTGTGAACCTCCCATAGGTGGAAAGACCTGCATGGCAAGAAGCTGGTATCTCCAGCTACCAGTCGGGAGGGGCCGGAGGCTTGCCATCAGCCACATGAGCTCAGAAGCAGGTCGTCTCTCAGGAGAGCTTTGACATATCAGCACTCCTGGCTGACACCTTGAGGGTGAAGCCATACCTAGATTCCTGACCCACAGAAACTGTGAGGTAATAAATGCTTGTTTTAACCAGTTATGCTTGGGGATAATTGTTATGCAACAATAGACATCCAATATGATATACAGTGATTATTTACAGATCATGAAACGTGTCTGCCTGGCATTACTCTTCTATAGAAGACTGAGTATAAAGATTCAGTCTGGAATCCCGTTTAACTTTCCTCCCTTCCAAAGAACACCAAAGACATATTTCTGTTGCCCAGTTTGTAAACCACATACTGTTTTTTATTTATACAGACTATGAAAAAACCAATACTTTCATTTATAATTGATCTCAATTTTTTTTTTCAAAGTGAATCCCTCAATATATGAGTAAGGTGCCCCATTAATGGAACTTCCTTCCATTCCATACTTACAAAGTAATCGGTTAATAGGAAGTCAGATTTATTTTCTGTGGATGAGACTGCAGTTTCTTCCATGAGAGCCTGGATGTCTTTTTCAACATCTATCTTGTTGATGGCACAGTGAATCTGAGTGTGACACTGAAAAGCCAAGAAAGCAGAGCAAGTTTACTGAAGAATGTTTCCTGCCAGTTCTTACCATGCATATCAGAAATAGAGAAATCTTTACTACTCACTGTAGTCAGGGTTTGGCCAAAAACAGAAATATGTTGGGTGTACTGGTTTAAGTTATTGTATAAAAGTTTAATTC